TGGAAGGCACCAGATACCTCATGTGTATTGCTGGTGAGATGGGACAGGGAGGGTGGGAAAAAGATTGACACGTACTGCAATAAAAAAAAGTGTTTCTTAGGGCACCTTAAAGCATGAAGGTTAGATAATAATAATGGCTATTTGTACTGAGGGATCCCATTGTGCCTGGGTCATTGCTAAGAAAAATAATATTTATTCCTTACAACAATAACACAAGATAAATACGATTTAATTCTCATTTTATCAATAAGAAAAGAAAGGGATGGAGAGGTGAGATACTGGCTCTAAGTCTCTATTAATAAGTAGTAGAACCTCAATAAGTTCCTTCATTTGGAAGTACCTAGCACTTTACTCTCGGCTGTTTACCAAACTCACCAGAGTTGCAGATTTCAGTGCATTTCTTGGGTTCATGAATATGTTTTTCCTTTTAATAGTAAAGTTATTTGAAATTTTAGATTGCAAAATGCTTGCATATCTTTTCTATCTATCTTTAAAGTCTTTAATCTAGGAATCTTGAAAGTCCTCATATTCTTAGGACCACAAAACCCACAGGAATATTGAAAATGATAGCTAAATGAATTTTGCATATTTCATGAGGTATTTTCCTGTAGTTACAATGTATACATTCTTCTAAAATTAAACAAATATTTATTTTCTTTCTACATTGCTATTGTTTTTTGCTGCCCATAGCATTATAGAAACGTTACACAATTGCTCATAGGGCTAAATTGGAAAACCTTCTTTGAACACCATACTACCTTTTCACTGCTCTTCATATTTCTCTGGAGTAGTCCTACTGCCATGTCTCAAGTGTACCCCTTTTCCAAAATCATACACAATGCAATCTCAACAGTATGTATTAGGGTTTCCCTCCTATACCTACTATGAAATTACAGGAGAAGCCTATGGAGATCTCATGGTCTCATTTTTTACAAAGGATAGGAGGAGGGTGCAGACAGAGAATAAGAAGCAGGTGCCCCAAGGATCAACATTACATTGCCCCATCTCTGGATAATATGACTATTATCCAAAGATAGTAAAGATTGAATTTATCTCACTTAAACACATTAAAACAATTCTTCTCTCTTTCATCACGTGATCATGGACAGCTTCTTATTTTCATGCCACTCTACTCTGCTATCTGGTATAACACAAGTTCACCACTATAGCATGCCTAAAAGTTCACTTTTTCTGTGGAGAAAAAAAAGAATGTCTAGGTTGAGAATACATTTCATAGAATGTTAGTCTGTGATTAAATTATTAAACTAAACCAAGATGAAAGAATTTTATTAAGGAGGGGTAAAATATTTAGATTTCACTTATCAAAGAGGAAACCAAACGTGCATATGGTAGTTATTAAGAAAAGGTGTGTGTTAGTAATGCTTCCCAGTAGGTTATTATTTCATATTCCTTATGAGGAACAGGCTACCCAACCAGTTCAAAGTTGTATTCAGAGAAGCTAAAGATTTAGTCAAGACCATGCTGTCAGTCAATGATGAAAAGAAAAAGAAAAAAACCTTTCACTTTCAGTACCCATCTTTGTACTTGAGTAGCTTTGTCTCCTTCAAAATACATCGCTAAGAGGCTACAGGTAGAACATTAGTAATACCACTATTGATATTATTTGTCATTAAAAGTTTATTGAATGCTATGTTCAAGGTATTTTGAGGCATAAAAAGAGTAAGACATATGCTGATAACTGTAACACCAAGTGACAAAAATTATTTTAGTATTTTCTTTGCTTTTGAGGATACTGAAAATTTGCCTCTTATTGTGGAGTACTAATATAGGAAAGACAAAATTGCAAATATGAATGCATTGTTTTATAATAACATATATTCTCCTTGATTGTCATTGTCATATCCAAATTCATCCAAATTCAAAGGTTATTCCTTTCTTCTTTTTTTCTTTTTTTTTTCTGAGTTGGAGTCTCACTCTGTCGCCCAGGCTAGAGGGCAGTGGCACACTCATGGCCACCCCAATGGTCAACCTGCTAGGCTCCTGCAATCCTTCTGCCTCAGCCTTCCATGTAGCCAGAACTACAGGCGCAGGCTACCACACCTGGCTTGTTTTTAAAAATTGTAGAGACAAGGTCTTGCCAAGTTACCTGGGCTGATCTCGAACCACAGGTTCAGGCAATCCACTCACCTCAGACTCCCAAAGTGCTGGGATTACAGACTGATCCACTGAACCCAACCTCAAAGGTTATTTCTAACGCAGTTGGATTCTACCTTTTTTCCTTCCTGTGCTTTACCACACCCAATCTGTGAGCCTTCACAGAGTAATTGCTAATTCTTGAGACAATCGTGCCTTTCTGGAACAGTCCTTGCTAGATTTTCTCAGCTCTGCCACTTAAAAGCTAAGCGATCTCAACTTATCACCAAATCTCTGAGCCTCAGAGTTTCTGTTCATAAAATGTACATAAAAATTCATTGATCCTCTTGTTATGATTACATAACATAGTGCATTAATCCTTTGCCAAACATAAAGTACCATGTAAAGCTGTGGCATTGTGCTATGTTATAAGATGCACAACTGTCCCAAAATAATTTTTTCATTGTCTGCTAATGGAATCTAAAATATCCTCATTTTATTCGCCTCTTTGACCTAAAGTGCCAGGTCTTGATGAAATCCCTATTAAACTATAAATATAAATTCTAAATTCTTAAATTTAATTCTAAAATTAAAGAATTATTATAATAGTCTATTAGGTATTTAGTTGTGATGGGTCACAGTGGAAAACATTTATCATTAATAGAAATAAAAATAAAAAATAGAAAGCAATAAAAGAAACAAACTACTGATTCATGCAACATGAATGAACCTTACAAATATTAAGCAGAATAAAAGAAATCAGACAGCTACAATAAAAAGTTCATATTACATAATTAGATTGTTATGAAATTCTAGAATATGCACATAAGAGGTACAGGGAAAACTTCTGGGGGTGATGAAAAATATTCTATGTCTTCAAAAAGGTGTGGACTACTCCAATGTATGGATTTTTCACAACTGATTTAAAGAAAAACTTAAGATCTGAGCACTTCACTTGATATAATTTATACTTCAATTAAAAAATCATCTAATGCTATTGTGGTGATTTTTGATAGTTTTTATATATTATAGATGCAAGCTGAAATGTCTACAGATGAAAAGATAATATGAAGCTTGAATTTAGTAAAAAAAAAGAGCAGGTTGATAATGATAAAATAGGTGGTCACAGAGATGAGACATGATCAGTCATGCCTTGAAAAATGTAAAAGTTGGGTGACATTTACACGGGGGTCCTTTATTCTTTCAACTTTTGCATATGTTTATTTCCCATGATAAAAAGTTGAAAAGAGAAAGATTACCCAAGTTAATCACCTCATTTACAAAAGAGAAAACTGAAAATTGAAGATGGACATAACCTGTTCAGGGTCTCAAACCAGCTCCCAAGTCCAACCTTCTTTCTCTGATCCCAAAGAAGCACAAACTATGAGCTACTGCATTATGGAAAAGCTGCTTTTCAAAAGGCCAAACCAAGAATGCAAGGATATGTTTAAGTAATAAATATTTGTGACCTTACTTCCACGCTCTTCTTTTTTCTACTGAACACGTATATTTTATCTTATATACAGCTTTTACCTATAATCACTTGCTTCCTGTCCTTGTGGTTTCAAACAGTTGTTTTGTGGATGTAAACTGGATTTGACTCAAATTTCAGAATGCCAAGTGAGTGTAAGCGTCAGAGAAAGCATTATTTTCTACAAAAATAAACCCCTAAAGCACAAACTTGTTTTGCCTTTCCAGTGTTAAACTCATTTTCCCAATCCAGGCTCAGAAAGCAAAGGCATCCCGCTTGTGGGAGGAGCTTGCTTCTCCATTCTGGTGAGATCCAGGAACAGCTGTCTTCCTTCCAGCTCCGAAAGAGGTGAAAATGTGTTCGGCGGTGCAAAAATTGTCTTGAAGTTCGCGTGTGCATGTATGTGTGTTTGTGCGTGTGATTGGGAGGAGGGAGGGAGGTGTCAGCTCCGAGGGTCGCGGGGATCAGAAGTCAGAAAGGTGAGTGGTGTGTAGAATCTCCCTTCCAGAAGGGGCTGGAGAAGACATTGGATAGGATGGTCCAGGAGGGTCAATCACGCTGCATTTGTCTCCTAGACTGTGTGGTTGGGTCTGGAAAGTAAATCCAATGTGGAGAGCGAAAAGCCTTATCACCGCTTGCTTTAGACGGCTGGGGAATGTTTATTCCTCGCTCCATGGATGGGAAAAATCAGCGTCTGGCAGCCGCTGATTGGTGGAGAAAAAAATGGTGCTAGTGAGGTGGGAAGAGGATTTGCTGAGCGTCCTCCTGCCTCCCCAACCTGTAACTCTTCCTTAGTAGTCGCCTTATGCCCCGCGGGACCCTTTCGGGCTCGCTCTAGATTAAGAACTAACGAAAATCTTGAGGATGCTTGAACTAAGGAGACCCTCCACGTTATGTCTTACGACCATTTCTCCAGTTCGGCGACCCCAGGGAAACGTGTTCCCGGCGGTGCTGATGACAGCACCTTCCTAGCTGCCTGACTCCCCCAGCAGCTCCCCAAGAAGGCCCCGCCTTTGGTGGAGGATCCCTCGGGTCCCCGACTCCCCCAGATTGACTCTGACCAGGGAGTCCCCGTGAGAAAAAGCAGGGCTTGGGAAGGAGGGGGATGGGAAAGGAGAGAGACATCAGCCCAACCCTAGGCGCTCCCGATGGCCCCAGGAGTCCCCGCGACCCTGCACTTGAGGCGAAACGCAAACACTCCCCCTTGCTCTCCCCCTACCCCCACGGCCAGGCAGACGGCTGGAGCTGGTGGTGCAGCCTGCCCCCCGCCCTCACCCCCATCCAGGAACCGGAGCGAAGCGCACGCGGCGGGGAGAGCGGCGGGCGCCGGGAGGGGGGCGGGGAGAGGCGCTGACAAATCAGCTGTGGGGGCGGTGAGCGAGGCGACCGAGGGGGAAGAGGCGGAGGAGGACCGCGGCGACGAGCTGGGGGCCCAAGAGGGGGCGCGAGCAACCGAGCGCGGCCACGCGGGAGCGAGGTGTGTGCGGGGTCAGAGCCGACCCGGGGCCCAGCCCCGCCCTAGCGTCCTTCGTGCGGTCCCCGCCTTCCCTTCCAACCTTCTGTCTCTTTTTCTCGAGCCTTTCGTGCGGGGGACGGGGAGTGGCACTTCGACGACAGGTTAGCGGGCTCACCTCCCACGTCCCCAGCCTCGTGTCGCTGGGCTGGGCTGACAGCAGCCTCCTCTGGGGACCACCCTCTCCCGTGCCGCCTCCGCTTTTCCTGTGCGCTCCTTTTCCTCCCTCTTCCCGTTTAAATAATATTTGGGAATTGTTTAAGTTAAAAAATAATAAGAGGAGGGAGGAATCGGAGTTCTGGGAGAAGCAGAGGGACTCGGGTAAGTACCTGTGGATCTAAACGGGCGTCTTTGGAAACCCTGAGAACACCGGATGGGAGAGGAGTCGTCCTGGCGCTGGGAGGGGGTTGGCGCTGCAGGGGTGTGGGGGGGAGGGGTATCCGCTGTGTCGCGTCTCTTGGCGGTGGGCGGTGAGGACTTGTGCCTTTGGCGAGCTTGAGGAAAGTAAGTCGACCTGGCTTTCCTCCTGTTTCCAGTATTCCCTTTTCCCCAAAGGCTGAAAGGTCAGGCTGTTTCTCCTGGATGCACTTTTCCTTTGGGAAACGCGAGGATGCTCCAGGGAATGTGAACATCCAACTTTTATTTCTCTTACCTTAAATCCCTCTGGCAGCTTTCTGGTTTCCCTCCGTAAAGTAAAGTAAACAAGCTGCTTTTGGTAAATGATTCAGTGAACGTGCAGGGAGGGCAAGTCAACAGGTGGTGAGGGGTTAACAAGCGTGGGCGCAGAGTCCGCTAGGATTGCAGGTGAGAAGCCCCCTAGGTGACTGGCACTGGTTTGGACTTGGCCCAAGGGTGTGTATGACGCGCGCTCGGGGTAGACAGCGGAGGGCGGGGGTGGACGGACTGATGGATTAGAACCAGCACTCTGGGGCTCGCTGTTTGCCTGAGGTTCAACCACTCTTGGAGTGAGTAGGTTTCTTCCCATCCCCCTCCACAATCAACCTGTTAACTAGTCCTCTTCTGGGATCATGTTAAGGATGCCTCTGACTCTAAGCCTCCGGCTGCCTTTCTTTCCCTTTGGTCTTTCTTCTAGGCATGCTTCTAACTTACACTGTTACCCTTTGGGCCCCAGGAAGTTGAAAGAGGGGTCAATCGTTTCATGCAACTCCACTTCTGAAATGCAGTGAGAACAGCTCAGATGATTCATCCTAATCCATGTTTAGGCAGCCAGACTTTTACTAGCCATGATGGATGAGGGATGCTAAATTTTTAATGCCAAAGCTAAAAAAGCAATGTTTTAAATGAGGTATACTAGAAAGAATCTCATACTTTTGGGGGATTTCTACTGTTTTTTTCAGTTTGTTTGTTTGTTTGACCTTGGGTAGTTTTGATTTTGTTTTGCTTTCCCCAAAAGTTCTCATGCAACGTAATTTTATGTTCTCCAGTGTGGTGTAAAGGAATTTATTAACCATGGATGTATTCATGAAAGGACTTTCAAAGGCCAAGGAGGGAGTCGTGGCTGCTGCTGAGAAAACCAAACAGGGTGTGGCAGAAGCAGCAGGAAAGACAAAAGAGGGTGTTCTCTATGTAGGTAGGTAAACCCCAAAAGTCATTTTGATGTTTGTTTGTGACTGTTGGGTTGGGATAATCAATACTCTAAATGCTGGTAGTTCTCTCTTATTCATTTTTGCCTCATCACTTGTCAAAAGGATGGCCTGAGTCAGAGGTATGCGTAGGTAGGTGAATGTGAATATCTGAATTTGAGCTGAGAGTAAAAAATGGGGTTAATCTTTTGCTTTTCTAGATTATTTAATTTTGCGGTAATACATGAGGCTTGTTTGTTCCCTTTTTAATGAGCATTTCTGTGCCTGAGTATATTTCAGAGGACAGTTTTTAAAACTGTTAGACTTTTAAAAAATAATCAAGACTATTCTTAAGAATCAAAATCATTCATGGGGCTTTGATTTCTTTTTCATGAATAATATTTTCTAATTTTAATGCATTCTGATTTCAAAATAAGATTTTGATATGACCGTGTGACATGCAAAGAGAGATTTATTGTGATCTTAAATGGAAAGAACAGATTAGTCTCTGGTGGAGTTACTCCTTGTGATCATTGGTCACGGTGAACATGGAACATCAAGTACTCAAGGACTGCTTCTAATACATCAGAAACATTCCTATAGTCTGTCAAATGACACACATGCTAAAATAATGAAGAGATTGATGGTTATTACCCTACTTGTTTCTTGGAGCGTATGCCAAGACTCTAACTCTGTTTTCTGTATCTTGAGCTGTGTTGGATTGGGTGTTGTTTCACAATTCACTTCAAATTTTTTTGGAAGAAATAGACATGCACAAACATACATTTATCCAAAGGCGCGCGCACGCACATGCACACACACACACACACACACACCCACACACCCTACCCATTCTTCCTCCCCTCTTTCTCCTTTGAGCCCTTCCACATTCTCAGGTGGCAAATATAGCAGTAAGAGTCACAGGGTGAACAGTCAGGTGGAGGATGAGCATATTGAGTTTCATAGCAGACATACGTATTCTGCCTTTGTGAAGTAAAAGAAGGCTACAAGGTCTGGTCTCTTAAGCATAGATTAACTGGAGAAATGCTATACTTGGAATTATTTTTATAAATGTTTTTCGTCAAAGTTTACAATTGAGTTCTTTCTTTCTCATTCTTTATAGACTTTTTTATATTGAGTTAGTCTTCCCAGAAATCTTCATTTAAATTACTGTTTTTTTTCTTCTATCTTAAAACATATTTTCAGAAGATTATTGAAATAGTGTTGTAAGAGGAAAAAACATTGATGAGTTAATTTTGTTTTTTGTGAAGTATAAATTATATCTTTTTAGATGGAATTTGGTATACAGTCACATGCAGATGATCAGTCCCTTTCTATTTGTCCTCAGTTTTCCAAATTCTGCCAGTACAAGCTTGAAACTTTTCTTGGACTTCAGTTACTTTATAACTTTTCGCTGACATCATTTCATTGTCTGTCATGGTATTTAACACATTTCAGTATTTATTGCAGTTTTTAACATGTTATATAAACTATGTATCGATTATATTCTGAGGTCTAACTGAATGTTGAGCTCGTACACAGGATTTAAGATGAAAAATGATCATAAGAACAAAAGTATTATAGTGCAAGACTTGGCAAATGTGGTGGATAGCATGTATTTAAGCTGTAAGATATCTGCCTCAACTACTCAGCTCTGCTGTTGAAGCGTGAAAGCAACCATAACTATAACTAGTGTGGCTGTATTCCAATAAAACTTTACATACTGGGCAACACCTTCAGGTCCCCTCCCACTGTGGGAGCTTTTCTGTCCTCTCAATAAATCTTGCTTTCAGAAAACAAAAAACTACTTTACATACCAAAGCAGTCAGTGGCCTGGAATTGTCCCACAGTGAGTAGTTCGGTGACTACTGTTAATGTGGAAAGAACATGCGTTTAATGTCACACAAACCAAAGTTGTTTGTTTTTTTCCAAGAGACATCACTTACTATCCTTTAGGGTTTGGGGGAAGTTACTTAACATCTCTGAGCATCACTTCCCTCATTAGTAAAAATATGATTTAGAAAAATGTAACTGCCTTGCAGAATTTTTGTGAGAATGTCATAATAAAACAGAACATATGAGTAATTAGGCATACTTTCATATATAGGAGCTATGGTTATTATTACCAGATAAACATTCCAACAAAATAATCACTTTGCCTACATGTTCTGTTTATCTTTTAATTCTTCGTTACATAACTATTATTAGTTTGAAAAATTGAAAGTTACCAAAAACTTTTTATAATGTCACTTACTGCTGAATACGCTTGGTAGAAGCCTCATAATAAAAGTAATCTTATTCCTTTATAAGAATATACTTTTGGCAACTACTTTTTAACTAATTGAAGAACTACCATAATAATCAGTGTTATTTTTATGTTTGTCTCTCAGTTTGTGTTACCAGTGTACACAAAATTTCAATCAACATACCTCAGTTTAATAAATAAAAGTTTCCTCAAATGACTAAGAAATTCTAAGTTAGATTTAAGCTCAAAAGCAGAAACATGTAATTACCTTTATATAATGCCAAGTACTATAACAATAAATGCAGGAAAATGATAATCTTCAAAAGTCTTCCAACATTATTCTGCCTAATAACCAGCACTGATCATCCAGTGTGATTGGTAGCAAACTCTCCACACAATGTACTTTACCTTATTAAGTTCAAATAACATAACATGCACAACACCCATCATTAGTTCTGACCTTCGCTCTGCACCCTTGTGAGGCCCTGGGAGACAAGATAGCATGGGTGTGGGCCACCTCAGCTCAGGAAAGCCATCAGCTCTGGTGTCTCTTGCTAGTCACATAGCCATTTGGCACTTATTTTGTAGCCATAGCCTATCAATGACAGATTATTCATAGAACTAATCATCAGTTTCAGATTACTAGTAAGTAATTATGGCAGCAAAGAATAGATGGTTGGTTTGCTACATAATAGCCTCATGAAGACTCTCTTTTTTGGGGGGGTATATAAGTATTTTATTTGGGGTTACACCAACAAAAATAAACAAATAAACAAATATTTGTTTCAGTATACCTTTTACTACTTGTAAGTATCCCATAAAAGTCACCATTTTACTACCTGTAAGTATCCCATAACATCATGTTGAATATCTTAAATATACACAGTAGGATTTTTTAAAATGTTTCTTTTTAACATCCCATGATGTTATGGGATACTTACAGGTAGTAAAATGGTGACTTTTATGGGATACTTACAAGTAGTAAAAGGTATACTGAAACAAATATTTGTTTATTTGTTTATTTGGGGTTACACCAACAAAAATATACAATACATTGCATGAGATATTTATAAAAGTATAGTTATATTTTCTAATGATTTGGTTTAGTGGTATTCTTTCTTTTAAAAAATATTCTATTGCAACTTGGATGGATTTAGAGTTGATCATACTGAGTGATCTATCACAGAAACAAAGAACAGAATACCATATGTTTTTACTCATAGGCGGACCTTGAACAATTATCATAATACAATAAGAAAAGGATTGACAGTAGTGGAAAACTGCCAGGGGAGTAGTGGAAAACTGCCAGTGGAGGGGGACAAACCTCATCAACAAGGGTACCTGTATCATGAACATTTGTATACCTAACCCAGAATTTTATTCCACATTTTTAAAATTAAAAATTAAAAGAAACATTTTAAAAAATCCTACTGTGTATATTTAAGATATTCAACATGATGTTATGGGATACTTACAGGTAGTAAAATGGTGACTTTTATGGGATACTTACAAGTAGTAAAAGGTATACTGAAACAAATATTTGTATTCATCATCTCACAGTTACTTTTTTTTGTTTGTTTTGATGGTAAGGGCAGTTAAAATATATTCATTTAGCATGAATTCCAAATATAGTACAATTATATCACCTAAAGTCCTCATATTGTACATTATATCTCTGGACTTATTCATTCTTAATGTCTGCCACTTGGATCCTCTGACCTATATCTCCCCATTTCTTACCCATTCCTCCACCCCTGATAACTACTGTTTGGTTCTCTGTGTATATTTGAACTTAAAAAAAAAAATTCTACATATGAGTGAGATAGTGCAATGTTTTTCTTTCTATGTCTGGCTTATTTTCTATAATGTCCTCCCGCTTCCTCCATGTTGTGGTAAATGGCATGATCCTACTCTTTTTTAGGGATGTATAATATTTTATTTTATGTATTTGCCACAGTATTTTTATCCATTGTCCACTAAGCAACACTTAAGTTTTTTCCATATTTTGGTGACCATGAATAATGCAGAAATAAGCACGGGAGTGAATGTGTTTTTACAAGGTTGTACTGTAATTTCATTTCCTTTGGGTATAAGCCGAGAAGAGAGATTGCTGGCTCACACAATAGTTCTATTTTTAATTGACATGAAAAAAATTGTATACATTTATGGAGTACAAAATTCTATTTCCTTACATGTATAGAATGTGTAATGAATTAATCAAGGTAATTAGCATATCCATCACCTCAAACATTTATTATTCCTTTGTGCTGAGAAAATTAAAAATCTTGTCTTCTAGCATTCTGAACATTTGCAGTACGTTATTGTTAACTATATTTACCCTATGGTACTATAGAACAGGGGTCCCCACAACCCTGGACTGGTACAGGTCCATAGCCTGTTAGGAACCTGGGCCAGAGGTGAGTGGCAGGTGACTGGAGCTCTGCTTTCTGTCAGGTCAGCCACATTAGATTCTCATAGGATGGCAAACCCTATTGTGAACTGCGCATGCTGGGGGTCTAGGTTATGATTCCTTATGAGAACTGAATGTCTGATGATCTGATGATCTCCCCCTTCCTCCTCCCCCCGTTGCTACAGAACACTAGAATGTATTCCTCCTATCTGGCTGCAATCTCCCTTACTCCTCTCCCATCCCAGTCTCTAATAATCATAATTCTACTACCTACTTCTATTTCCTTTGTTTTTGATTCAGAATAAATTTCACATTAACCACAGGTCAAATTCTCAGGTACTACTGAGGCAGAGAGTAAAGATGACAGACCAATTGTTAGACATTTTTTTCTCCTAATAATTTTTAAAACAATATGGGGTGAAGGGAGAAGGGAGTGAAGAATAGTGATGAGAAATATTCTCTTTATTAAAAGCTGTTCTCACTATGAAGAGTTCCAGTATATACAAATTCCAGTTACTACAGTTAGTTAAATAACACCAGTCCCCTAACAATGCAATTCAAATTATTCCTACCACAGTACATAAACTGAGAGTAATTGCATAAAGTACAGCTCACTGCTAGCTATTTAGACCCCAAATTATTACATAAATAACAGAAACCTGTTATCATCAGTGACCAAATTATAGCACCTGTTTCAAAGTTTTTTGGTGATTGGTAGTTTCACATCTGTTACACAGTTCACACAGACAGCCACACGATTCTTGCATGGGTACCTTGTTGCCCAGTGGCAAACCTATGTGACGTTTCACATAAAAATGCATAGACAAAAGAGAAGATAGGCCAACAAACATGAACTTACAACAAAGAAATGGAGTAAAACATGCTAGAAGCAAAATTTGAATGAACATAAATTGACTTAAGGAAGAAATAGCCGACCCTGGGGATGTTGTCACTGCTGCAATTCAAGAGACTCAAGATATGCAGTCAAATAAACCTATTGAAAGTTAGCATATCAGCCGGATTCGGTGGCTCAGCCCGTAATCCCACGCTTTGGGAGGCCGAGGTGAGTGAATTGCCTGAGCCCATGGGTTTGAGACCCCCCTGGGCAACTTGGCAAGACCTCATCTCTACAATAAATCAAAAATTAGCCAGGCGTGGTAGTGCGCACCTGTAGTTCCAGCTATTTGCAAGGCTGAGGTGGAAGGATCGCCGGAGCCCAGCAGGTCGAGGCTGCGGTGGCCAGGAGGGACCACTGCACTCCAGTCTGGGCAACAGAGTGAAACTCCAACTCAAAAAAAAAAAAAAAAGAAAGTTAGCATATCGACATAAGTGGGAAAAGTGGTTGTGACAAACAGGGTGAAGGTGATGCTGAAAGAAACATCTCATGTTAAATGCACTATCAGTGATACATCATGACATTAAAATGCAAGGGGTAACATTTTGGAAACTGATCGAAACTTAAACGAATGTGACAATTCTGTAAAAACATGCCCACGCCATACAGGAAATTTTGCAATGAGAAGAAGGCAGGCACTGTCTACACTACTCTTGATAAGTTTTTTACCAAAAAAAATCTTTAATTTTTAATGTTTTTAATTACAGTATGCTAAATAAATATTAGTTTTAGTATTCATTTATAAATTACCAAGATAATTTTTAGTGTTTTTATTTTTTAATGTTTTGACAAAAAGTGTTATAGGTCATGGAACAGTCATAATTTTTACCATTGATCTATCATAAGTTTTTCATTGATTATTAAGATCACTTATCACAGTTTCAGCTCAGCTTGCACAATCATTTTACAATCCCGTGGTACCATACAAAGTGAGCATTGCCTATAAAATACACACACACACGTACACACACATACAACACTATATATAAAATACTATCCTGTATCCTATAATATTTTTAACAATTACACAATTTCATTTGTATGACATTTATAATTAGTAATTTGTCCTGTGCCTTAAGCTACAAAGGTTTTTACAAACAATATATGTGAAGAGTAGTAATAGTTATCACTTACTAAATATTGTGCTAAACACTGTTTTAAAAACTTTATGAATTATTTCCTCTGATCTTCATGTTGGCCCAGTGATGAATATTTGACTATTTTGTGGTGAAAATTTAAACCCAGGCATTCTGAATCCAGAGCCCACGTTTTGAACTACAAAGCTATAATTTATTTTATGTTTTATTTTTATTGGAGGTCCTTTACATATATGCAAATGGAGAGTTCTGAAATATATTTAAATTGTTTTATTAAATGTAGAAATTTTGCTCAACTGCTCTGTAAAATATGTTTAAATATGATGCATGCAAATTCCACTTAATGCCATATTTATATGTTTATAAAAATATTTAGTGAAGCCGGACTCAGTGGCTCAACCTGTAATCCCGTGCTTTGGGAGGCTGAGGTGAGTGGATTGCCTGAGCCCACGGGTTCGAGACCCGCCTGGGCAGCTTGGTGAGACCTCATCTCTACAATAAATCAAAAAAATTAACCGGGCGTGGTAGTGTGCACCTGTAGTTCCAGCTACTTGAAAGGCTGAGGCGGAAGGATCGCTGGAGCCCAGCAGGTCGAGGCTGCAGTGGCCGGGAGCGGCCACTGCACTCCAGTCTGGGTGACAGAGTGAGACTCCAACTCAACAACAACAATAACAAAAAAGAAATTAAAAACTCTAAATTTAAAAATATATATATTTAGTGAACATTTTCAATATGATCCTGTATATTTCTTTAGATCATCTTACTGATCATCATATTATTTAGATAATAAAAGTATACTTCTAAATTTTAAAAATATTTGGAAATAGAGAATACCTCAGATCAGTGTTTCTTAAAAGATGATCCATGAGTTTTCTGCATTATATCAGGAGGGTTATTGAAAATGCAAATATCTGTACTTTATATTTACTGGATATTTGGAACTCTCACTCAATGGTTAACACTTTTAACCAGCAATCTCACAAGTGATTATGCTACATTTGACAACTTTACGAACCAGTTTATTTGAGAGTTATTAATTAATCTTTTGTATTCATTTTACTAAAAAGAAAATCGAGGTCCTCTTACATTTTTTCTGTGTTTTAAAAAGTGTTTACAGTTATTTCTTTATATATTTAGTAAGAGATTTTAAACACTTAGTACATTTTTAAAAATTATAAAAACATGGAGTACGATTCAGGGTTAGGTATACAAACGTTTATTATGCAGGTACCCTTGTTAATGAGGTATGCCCCTCCCTCCCCCTAGCAGTTTTCCTCAACTGCCAATCCCACCCCCCCACCCAGACAGTTTTCCACTACTGCCAATCCCTTTCTTATGGTATTACCATTGTTCAAGTTCCGCTTATGAGTGAGAACATGTGGTACTCTGTTCTTTGTTTCTGTGATAGATCACTGAGTATGATCGACTCCAAATCCATCCAAGTTGCTGCAAAATCCATATGTTTGTCCTTCTTTATGACTGTGTAATATTCCATTGTGTATATGTACCACATTTTTTTATACAGTCCTGCTTCAATGGGCAACATGGTTGGTTCCAAACTGAAGATTGGCAACTATCTTAATGTCCACATATAGATTTAAGTCATTGTCAGTTTTAATGTCCTCATTTTCCCATGCTCTCCTGTATGTTGGTAGAACTATATTATTCACGTTATGGGATAGTTTTCAAATGAATCACTAATCTAGTATTACTTTCTCCAAAAAATTGTAGTTAAAAAATGAGTGTAAATTTCACTGAAAAATACAATATTAGAGAGGTTATGAATAAAATAGTTAACAAGTTCAGCTTTAATAATATAATAATTATTTGTATACAAATTTAATAATGGTCAAGGTTTGGGGAAAATTTTTATCTTGCATAGAGACCTAGTTTGAATATGCATATAACCTGTTATTACCTGTGTAGTATCAGGCAAATCATTTAATTCTGATTTTAATTGAAATAAAACGAGCATAATATACCTACATTAAACGAATGCTATGAAGATTAAATGAGATTAAAAATGCAAAAAGTGCCTTTTACATAATGGCTGTTCAACAAACATGAAAGCCTTCTTTCCCTTCCCTTCTGTTTGTATTTCATGGGTTAACAAATCTCTCTGTTATGCTGTACTTTTAAAACTTCTACAGTTCTGAATCCAAAATCATCTTCTCACCAAGCCCGAGTGTTACTTCACTTTTTTCCCCTATGTAAGTTGATAGGTGAAGTGGAAAGCAAGGGGATAAGAAGCCATTTTGTGCTGAAATCTTAATTGGAGAGAATCTCCTGTTAGCTCTGCTTTCTTCTATTTGTTGTGGTGTTTACTGGATTGCCTCCTTTTAGGTTATTTTATTTTATTATTATTATTTTTTTGAATTGGAGTCTTACTTTGTTGCCTGGGCTGGAGTGCAGTGGCACACTCACGGCCACCACAGTCTCAACCTGCTGGGCCCAGGCAATCCTTCCACCTCAGCCTTCCAAGTAGCTGGAATTACAGGCGCATACTATCATGCCTGGCTAATTTTTTGATTTATTGTAGAGATGATGTCTTGACAAGTTGCCCGAGCTAGTCTCGAACCCCTGGACTAAGGCAGTCCTCTCACCTTGGCCTCCCAAAGTGCTAGAATTAAAGCTATTTTATTTTATCTTGCCCTTTGAAGATATCATTCTTTATAAGCTTCTGAAGATTGACATTTTAAAATGAGTTGTATTTAAAATGAGCTATTCAGCAACATAAGGCTCGTTGGAGACTTATGTCTTAAATTTGTTTGTTTTTGTAGGCTCCAAAACCAAGGAGGGAGTGGTGCATGGTGTGACTACAGGTAAGCTCCATAAGGCTTATTCTCAAGGATGAAATTCAAATTATCTAGTGATCAGTGTGGCCCCAGTATTGAACATTCAGAATGTAATTGTAAATAATCATTATGCCCATATAGGAGCATTCTACGAGTGCTTCAGAATTGTTTAAATTTAACTCCCCGTAGGTAAATATTTATTATAAATAAACATGTTTAGTTCTCAAGACTGATGACTTTGAATTGACTATGTTTGATTGTAGTAGCTGGGAATTTGAGTATTTTAACCAGTAACTGGCAAACTACTGACATAATAAAATATAAAGATTGCCACTTTTTAAAGGATTAAAGTAAACATTTCTATAGATTATGATAGCATATTCTGACCCTAAACTATACTGATCATAGTTTAATGCTGTAGAGTACATTTTAGGAAACATACTTGAATGATCAATAAATTATTTATTGTATTTATATTTGTACTATTGTACAACTATTTATTGTACAATTGTTAGTGTATAATTTCTTTCTTTTTTTTTTTTTTTTTTTGAGTTGGAGTCTCACTTGGTCGCTCAGACTGGAGTGCAGTGGCCACTCCCGGCCACCACAGCCTCGCTTGCTGGGCTCCAGCGATCCTTCCGCCTCAGCCTTCCGAGTAGCCGGAATTACAGGCTTGCGCTACCACAACCGGCTGATTTTTTAATTTATTGTAGAGATGAGGTCTCGCTGCCCAGGCGGGTCTTGAACCCGCGGGCTCAGGCAGTCCACTCACCTCAGCCTCCCAAAGGCGCGGGATTACAGGCTGAGCCACCGAGCCCGGCTAATTTCTTATATTTTTAACTGTATTGTTAATTTGACCAAATTTTACCAAAAATTTGAATAAATCAATAAGACTTGTAGTAAAGAAATAGTGAAAACGATCAAAATAATGATGATCATCATCACATGATGAGGAAGATGAAGGGGATAGTGACAGAAATAGAAAAACTAAAGAAGAACCAATATTTAGCAAATTAATACTCCACAGACTTGTTACAATTGAGTTTCATGTTGTAAGTACTCCATACTTCCTGACAGGTGTGGGAGAACAAAATATTTAATTAGAAATAAAATTTGTATGACCAGAAAGCATTAAATGTAATAATACTTCATAAAAATATTTCATGTTCCTCTCACTAAATTATAGAATACAAGTAGGGAAAATGAAATGGGGATCTTAATACAGTCTTGTGGTTTACACTAAAAACACTGAAATCAGATCTTCCTGGTTCAACTTCCTGCTTACTCCTTACTAGCTGTTTGATTTTGTGCAAGATTCTTTAACTTCTATGTTATTTAGATTACTCATCTATTAAATAATTAGTGTACACAAAACACCTGGAAAACTGAGAGCAAATAATATGTGTTATGCAAGTGTTATTACTGCTTTATAGTGAACGTTCTTGAGCAACATTTTTAAAACTAGTGGAGAAAGGTATTTAAGTGCGTAATTTTGATTAAAAATGAGGGTATAAAAGTAAAACAGAATCCTTTAAAACTAATTTTGTAAGAAGCTAACTATGCAGCTATCCTAGGCTCTGTTACAACCAATAAATTAGGCAGAGAACTAGGTAAGTTGAATGAACTGTGGTCCCTTCTAGTGACCTTCTATAAATGTGGTATTGTTAAGCATGATTTTAATAAGAATTGGATAACAGACAGTTGGAGACTGCACTATCTGAAGGGGCCAACCTAGATTAATGGTATTCCATTTGATAGTTGAGGGAGAACCCATGTGGTTTAGAAAAAAGATAAGCACGTGGCAAGGTTTGAGACTGTGATAAAAATTAAAGACTCAACTACTACTGTCATCTAATGATCCAGCGGAGGATACGGAGACGGGCTGAAGGGTAACCTGTTGACAAGCTCAGAACTTTTTAATCTTCTCCAGTGTGCTGGGATGTGAACCCAAATTTGAATGTGTGTGTGTGTGTGTGTGTGTGTGTGTGTGTGTGTGTGTGTGTGTGTGTGTGTGCCGTGAGAGAGAGAGAGAGAGAGAGAGAGAGACCATGAGACAGAGACAGAGAAAGAGAAAAGGAGACAGAAAAAGAGACTAAGTTTATATTATATTAGCAACATCTTACAAAACATTTTCTGAGGGATAGTAGCCCACAACTTATGTGTCCATGATTTATAATATTAAAGACTTTGCATACCAGATCTTTTCTTTAAAATATTAAAGAATCGGAGATAGTTTACAGTAAATAAATTTGCATAGCATAGTTTAACTCCAGATTATTCATACATTTTGACTATTGTCAAACGCCAATAGTTACTACACTCCAATAAAACTAAGTCTCCCAGAAAACTATGGGAAGCTAGGTCCCCCAGAAAACTATGGGAAATGTTGCAAAGCAGTAAGGACATGATGATTTGGGTGTGGGCAATATTTACAGACATTGCATTGGTAAACCACTCTAGCAAATATCAAAGATGCTGTCACAACTAGTCTGACCATGATAGATGCATTCGGAGAAATCAGCTACAATAAGTATCATTCTTCTTCCGCATCAGAAAAGTGAATTAATTTGCTGAATAGGGTTATTTACTATAAAATTCCCAATTCCAATTATATGGAGAAATAAGATAATTACATCATTGGTTAAAGAGAAGGAGAATTGGTAGCTTATTATGCTTGGACTAAAATGTTTATTATGGGTACATATTAAGTGCTAACTAAATCTTATTTACTATTGTTATTGGTCTTAATTCAGGAAAGCAAGAAACTGTTATACTAATGGTACCTAACATTACATATGTGTGTGTGTGTGTGAGTGTGTGTGTGTGTGTGTGTGTGTGCGTGTGCGCATATGTGCATGTGTGTGTATATTATATATATGTATATACATATAAACAGTACCTAACATTATCTGCTAATGTTAAAATAGCAATTTCCCCGAGATTCATCCCATTAGCTGTTTTTGCAGAAATATTAAACTTCAATAAACTTGGACCGGGAATTTTTTATTTACCAGGTCCAAGAAAAATATATTCTTTTAGTTTGATAGTCTCAAGGTAGAATCTAGAAAACTTCACCTTAATCTAAGCTTTTTGATCTCAGGAAATTATTTTGGTTGTCAACTTAATGCATCACATTATAGGAATATATAAGAATGTATTTAATTGAATTTACTGAATGACATGTTTTTTGAAGGTGCTTTAAAACATAATGATATAAAATTGTTTATTCTTCATACAGGTATAATGTAAATAAATTCCTAACTTTGGAGATTTTCTGAAGGTTTTGGTTCTTATAAACAAAACTTTATTACATCTTAATAAACATAGCTCATTTGCAACATATTATGATTTAAATGTTCTTAGTAAATTGTTTTAAATTTATTTTCTTCAAATCTATCATTTATGTAACAATTCAAAGAGAAATCTTCTTAATTTTATAATTTTGTTTCATGTCAAAGTTTAGATTTACTGTATCTATTCTAAAAGTTAGTGCCACTTTTTTGGAATTTTATTTTTAACTTAGCTAAAATCAAATATAAATCAAATTATTGAAATTAGTGTACGCAATAAAGATAGACACTAAATTCCTTTTAGTGCATTGAAAATTTATTGAATATCTACTACAAAATAATATAAAGAAAAATCAAGCAGAATCCCTGATTTTAAGAACTCAGAATAGGGTGGTGGAGGTGCACAGACATACTGGTAAATGAAAAATTATGGTGCAATGTAAACAATTCAAAAGCAGAGATACATCTCAAATTTAATGGGATTGGAGGAGGTGGAACAAAGACACTTGGGGGGGGAGATGTTATAAGGCATTTGAGCTTGGTATTAACAAAGGAATTGTGTTTACTGAGTAAGTGAGAGTAGAATAAAAACTTCTGGCCAGGTAGAGCCCTATGTACCAAGATGCGAAAGATTGGCACATTGGGGAAAACATAGATAAGTTCAAAATATTATAGTGTCAGTTAACTAGAAGGAATAAGTTTGCATGTCTGATAGCACAGTAGGATGACTATAGTTAGCATTATAATTTATATTCCAAAATAGCTAGAATAGAAGATTGGAAATGTGCCCCAACAAAGAAATGATACATGTTAAAGGTGATGGATGTCTAAATACCCACACTTGATCACACAGTCTGTGCATGTGACATTACCCCATAAATATGTACACATATTATGTGTTAATAAAGATATTGTAGTGTCCATTGGTTGAGACTGTGATAAAAATTAAAGACTCAACTAATACTGTCATCTAATGATCCAGCGGAGGATATGGAGAAGGACTGAAGGGTAACCTGTTGACAAGCTCAGAACTTTTTAGTCTTCTCCAGTGTGCTGGGATGTGAACCCAAATTTGAGTGTGTGTGTGTGTACTCTCTGCTTCTGTATCAATACCTTACATTTACTTACCTTTATTTTTTAGATTCCACATGTTAGTGAGATCATGTGGTGTTTGTCTTTCTGTGTTTGGCTATTTTACTTTACATGAGAATTTTTTATATGAAATTTAATCTCTTTATAAATTTAATCCAAACTATGCCATCATCTCTAAATTTTTAACTTATTTTTTAAAGTCTACTGAATCACCATATCATATATTGTTTTAAGCCTCTTTATTTTCATGCTGTAAAGTATAGCTCCTTTGTTCCCATTAAAATTACTGAAAATCTATCTTATTATTAAGAATCCATTCTATTTCACTGCCTGAGGTGAAATGGATTAAAAAGAGCCAAGTTCCTTCATAACCATCTCTTATGCTATTATTCATTCAAATGTGATAATACCATCTGTGAGCACACAGATAAGTAGTATGTGTTGTGTTACTCAGAAGTGTGGTGAAAATGAATTGTAATGAATTGTCTGAGTGAGATCAAAGGATTGGCATAAAGTTGGAATAAAGAAAAAAAATGTCACATTGAATCTGTTTCAACTATAACTGCACCTGTAAGCATTGCTTTCTACAAAACTCTCCTAAGCTAAACCTGAATTGCTCATGGTTCTGTGTTCTTGATTTTTAAATTATAGCATCTTTTAATATCTACATGATTATGACAAAATATCACAGGTGTAATGAAGTTGACAGCGAAAGTGGAATTATTTTAACTCACTGTCATCTACCGTCCTTTAATTGGTTGTTGCTCTTGATTTATCCCAGTGGCTGAGAAGACCAAAGAGCAAGTGACAAACGTTGGAGGGGCGGTGGTGACGGGTGTGACAGCAGTAGCCCAGAAGACAGTGGAGGGAGCTGGGAGTATTGCTGCAGCCACTGGTTTTGGCAAAAAGGACCAGTTTGGCAAGGTATGGTTGTGTACGTCTTATATTATATTTAAAATCTTGTGAGTTCATGGTTTATTTTCATGTGAGGCGTGGGGGCAGGAACAAGGTGCTTACTGTGGGGGAAGGCTACCTGACACTCTCCTCTTTAAAAAAGTTCTTTCTTTATGAGTCTCGGTTTTTGAGGTATTAACCCAGATAAATGCCATGCAAATTTGTACAATAATCATGATTGTTTCAATTTCTGGAAGAAAGTTAATGAAATGAACGCTGTAGTCAAATGCCAAAAGGAATAGTGATATTTCTGAAGGAGTGAGTGCTTTTGTGTTAACCATAAATCTTGGAATTTCTTTTTGTTGGAAAAACTAATCTCTTTGTGCCTAATTTCTAAATTTTCAAAATGAAGATTTTTATACTTAATTTCTCTATAATGACATCATCTTTTATTAAATAGCATATTTGCATACCACATAACAGTTCATTGTCAAATACATATCAATAGAGATCATGGTTTTGGAGTGATTTTAAAATTTTCAGAAGAATTTTGCATTCGTTTTTTGACATTACAGGATGCTAATTAAAGAGGGAGGAAGGATGGAAATAAGTGGATAAGCACAACAACTTTTATTTCTGGGTCTTTGATAATCAGATGCTTAGTATAAGAACTGTGCCCATTCAGTCGTCCCAAAGTTATAATCAAATGGCTAGGATGAATGTCCTGAAAACTGAGAAAGAAGTTTTATTTGCCAGCATACCGCTCTGGGTTGTTTTTATCACATGTAAACCTTCACAGCCTATTCAAATATTGATAATAAATAAAGAGGTAAGATTAAAAACCTGTGATATATTTAGATTTCCCACATGAAGTTACACTGGTGCAACTGATGGTAACTATGGAAAATCTATCCTGGGCTTCTAGTGAAGTTTTTTAACTAACAATTGACTGTATCATGGTAGTATGTCTTTATAAAGAATATGCTTTTCAAATAAACTTATTTGTGCTAAAAATATCATACTGATTTCAATTTTCCATCTGAAATTATAGTTCTATTTACAGCTTTGTTACATTTCAAATGTCAGGAGGGAGTCCAGCCTGGATGACATAGTGAGACTGTGTCTCTATTAAAAAAAAAAATTAGCAAAAGTTATGAGGGTCTTCAGGTATTAGTACAGAAACAATTAACCTGTTTTGTATCCCAGACACTTTTGACAACCTAATAGAAACTATGAATCCTTTCCCAAAAAAATGCACATTCACATGCACACGCCAAAAAGCTTAATGGGAGATCCATTAACAGATTTCATATTCAAAGCCCATGATTTAGACCAATCCCCTGATTGTGTGAGAAGACTGAAATCTACAGAGGAAGTGAGTGGTCCAAGATTGCACAGCCAGTGGGAATAGACTGGACCCCAATAGTGCTTTTCTATACACTATATCACTTCCCCAACCACTTCCTCATAACCCATCTTACTTTGGGTCTTTATAAATTGAATTATGAACAACTAGATTTAACTGGAAAATTTTGTTGTTTCAGAATCTTAAGAAACCAGGGAGGTGTGTACCATTCCCTGTGCACCCCCATTTAGGGCATACCTTATAAATTTCAAATAAGACATGAAAGTGCTTCATTCCTTGCAAATTTGGCTTGTTTTAAACCTTCTAAAAAATACTGCTACTTATTTTAATATTTTAATGCAGAAAGCTAAGTGATGTGACAGTTAACCATTTGGAGACATTTCTTTTATGGGTACTACAGGTTCTTACAAATTTCTAATAAGAAGATTAACCATTAAACCTAGAAATTGCAGCATAGTTGTGGAAAAACACATTGGACAGGGAGTGAAAACGACTGGTTTTCATCTCTGCTTTGTCATCACCTGGCTGGATAACCTTTTGCAGATCTTGTAAAACTCTTTCTCACATAATAAGGGAACTCTACTAGAAAATTGTTAAAGCCCAATTTAGCAATGAAGTTCGGAGTTTCTATAATAATTCAAGGAATACTCTAATAAATGCCTGTAATATGGCCACATCTGTGAGATGCCAGAAAAAACTGGAGAGGTTAAATAAAGTCATTAAATTTGCTCATTAGGAAATTTGAAATAATTTAATTTGATCTTTCAGACTCTGATCAAAATGATCTTGGCAAATAGAAATAAGCATTTTTTGTTGTTGTTGCTTGAACGACTTTTTAGTGACCCTGATGAGACATTCATTCATCATTCAAGAAATAATGATTACTTACAATGTGTCAGAAACTTGGGAGAATAGGAATGTGACAAGTAGGGTTCCTGGATGTCTAGCCTGTAGAAGTAGATTAATGACTGTATCATTTTCTTGGTGGTTGGTGCCTCTTGTGAAGATCAGGAACACTGCCAAGATGAGTGATAGCATTGATTTTGACTCTTCATACCTTTTGAGGGTATGTGGTCCTCCTGGTTGATGAGGGTGTAAAGCTCCTTCCCTTCTTCCCTTCTTCCCTTCTTCCTTCTTTTCTTTTTGTTTTCGTGTTTTCTTTAAAACCAAGAACTCTAGTGGTTTTTCTTCATTTGCTAAATTTTTCTTTTTAAAAATATGCTTTCTTTAGTGTACTTCCTCAACTTTAGATGTTAAAAGAGAGATACGATTACAGACACCAGAGGTTTTTTTCCCAGATTTATTAAGGAATAATTGATAAATTAAAATTGCATATACTTACAATGCACACCATGATATCTTGATATATGTATACATTGTGAAATAATTACAACAATCAAGATAATAAGCATATCCATCACCTTGCATAGTTATCATTTTATGGTCACAAAATTTAAGAGCTACTGTTCTAGCAAATTTCAAGTATATAACTTGGCATTATTTACTGTAGTCACCATGCTGTACATCAGGTCTCCAGAACTTATTTGTTCTATAACTGAAACTTTGTACCCTTTGACCAACATCTCCTTATTCCCTCCCTCTCTCAGCCCCTGTCCACTATTATTCTGCTAAGTCTGACTTTAGATTCCACAAAAAGTGAAAGATCACAGAGCATTTGTCTTCCTGTGCATTGCTTATTTCACTTGCCTAATCTTTTCAAGATTCATCCATGTTGTGGCTAATGTAAGGACTACTTTCTTTTTTAAGGCTAAATAGTGTTCCATTGTGTATACAGTCATCTCTTGGTATCTGCAGAGGATTGGTCCAGGACTCTATGGGTACAAAAATTTCCAGATACTCAAGTACTTTATATAAAATGATGTAGTATTTGCATATAACTTGTGCATATCCTCCTGTATACTTTAAATCATCTCCAGATTATTTATATTACCTAATATAATGCAAGTGCTGCATAAACAGTTGTTATACAGTATTTTAAATTTTTGTTATTATTTTATAGTATTTTAAATACAGAATTAATTGAATCTGTGAATGAGGAACCTGCAGATACAGAGAACTGACTATACATTCCAAATTGTCTTTATCCGTTCATCTGTTGATGGACACTTAAGTTTGTTCCATATCTTGGTCACTGTGAATAATGTTGCAGTGAACATGGGAATACTGATATCTCTCCAACATACTGCTTTTCTCTCTTTTGGATGTTTACTCAGAAATGGGATTGCTGGATCATATGGTAGTTCTATTTTTAATTTTTTGAGGAATTTCATATTGTTTTTCATACTGACTGCATCCATCTTCATTCCCACCAATAATGTACAAGGGTTCCCTTTTCTCCACATCTTTATCAACACTTGCTGTCTTTTATCTTTTTGACAATAGCTATTCTTGACAGTTGTGAGGTGTTATCTCATTGTGTTTTTGATTTGCATTTCTCTGATGTTTAGGAATGTTGAACATTTTTTCATATACCTGTTGTCCATTTGTATGTCTTTTTTTGTCTTCTTTTGAAAAATGTCGGTTAGGTCCTTTACACATTTTTATTCAGGTTATTTATTTTATTGCTATTGAGTTGCTTGAGTTCCTTAGATACTAACTCCTTACAAGTTCCATGGTTTGCTTATATTTTCTCCCATTCCATACTTTGTCTCTTTGCTCTGTGGATTGTTTCCTATGCTGTGTAAAAGTCTTTTAGTTTGATGCAGTCCCATGTGTCTATTTTTGCTTTTGTTTTCTGTGCTTTTAGGGTCATATCTGAAAAGTAATTGCCCAGACTAATGCCAAAGAGATTTTCCCTATTTTTCTTAGTAGTTTTACAGTTTCAGGTATTATGCTTAAGTTTTAATTTGAGTTGATTTTTGTATATGGTATGAAATGGGTCCAGTTTTATTCTTATACATGTGAATATCCAGTTTTCCCAACAGCATTTATTGAAAATAAATATCCTTTTCTCATTGTGCATTCTTGGCATCTTTGTAAAAAACCAATTGACTATAAATGCATAGGTTTATTTTTGGTTCCCTATTCCATTTCTTGGATCTATATATTTTTATATCAATATCATGCTATTTTTGTAGTATATTTTACAATTAAGTAGTGTGATGCCTCCACCTATAGTTGAAACTTTGTAGTCAAAGCTACACCACTTTGTAATCAATGCTGTAGTAAACACTTTGTAATCAAAGCTGTAGTAATTGTTTTGTATTCAAAGCTATAGTAATCACTTTTGTAATCAAAGCTATAGTAATAGCTTTGTTACTACTTTTAACTCAAGATACCTTTGGCTCTTCAAGAGCCTAGATAGATTTTAGGATTGTTTTTTCTGTGTTTGCAAAAAAAATGTCATTGACAATAGGAACTGCATTGAATTTGTAGATTGCTTTGAGTACTGTGGATGTTATGATAATGCTGATTCTTCTTACTCATGTACTTAGGATATCTTTACATTTATTTGTATGCTCTTCAACTTCTTTCATCAATGTTTTTTTCAGATCTTTCACCTCCTTCTTTAAATTTATTTCTAAGTATTTTTTGATGTTATTGCAAATGAGATTGTTGATTTCTTTTTCAAATAGTTCATTTTTAGTGTATAAAATTGCTACTAATTTTTGTGTTTATTTTGTACCCTCAAACTTTACTGAAGCTATTTATTAGTTACAACAGTTTTTTGTTTGTTTTTTTTGGTGGGGTCCTTTGCTTTTCCTATATAAAAGAAATGTCGTCTGCTAACAGAAACAGTTTTACTTCTTGCTTTGCAATTAGATGCCTTTTAAAAATTTTTCTTGCCTAGTTTCTCTTGCAAGGACTCCCAGTACTATATGAATAGAAGTGGCAAGTGTGCGCATTCTTATCTTCTTGTTCTTGATCTTTAGAGGAAAGGCTGAAAGTTTTTTATCTTGGGTATGATGTTAGCTGTGGGCTTGTAATATATGGTCTTCTATACCTAACTTGTAGAGAGTTTTTATCATGTAGGATGTTAGATTTTGTCAAATGCTTTTTCTGAAACCATTGAGATAATCATGATGGAAATAGTCTTT